CTACAGACCATTGACCCAATCTGCAGCGTCAGCCCCTGCCTTGATGACACCCATACCAAAATGGCTGCAGTCTTTGAGCCCAAGATTGATTGAAAACGCACTGTGGCTAAAACGAACCCTGCCATGATCAACCATCCCACGCTGTTTCCATTGCATGTATTCCAACATGATATCGTCTGCCATGTTCGTTTCATACTGCATTCCTTGGCTCCAAGAGCACAAGAACCCATTCCCGATCGTGATACGTCCGGCAGTGGCGGCGGCCCTGCAACAGCCACGATTGCTTGAAAAGGCACTCTGTCTACCGAATACAGAAGGACCTTAACCCGATCTGCAGCGTCATCCCTGCCCTGATGAGACCCATTCCAACATGGCTGCAGTCTTTGAGCACAAGATTGCTTGAAGAAGCACTGTGACTAAAACGAACTCTACAACCTACACCTATTCCGTATCCAGCTTCTATCGCGATCAACCTACACTATCCAACGCTGTTTCCATTGCATGTGTCCGAACATCTTATAATCTGCTATATTCCTTTCATTCTGACTCCCTTGGCTCCAAGAGCGCAAGTACCCGTTCCAGATCGTGTCACTTCCGGAAGCTCTCTAACCACTTACCCGACCCGCAAAATGGCTGCAGTCTTTAACCCCACAACCACGATTACTTGAAAAAGCACTCTGACTCCAACGAACTCTACCAACGGCACCTGTTCCGTGACCATAGTGACTTCTGGGGCTATGTTAGGCAATCTTGAATTTATTCCAGTCCATTTTGAGCCCTCGTTCAAGTCCCTATCTCGAGGAAGCATGCTTGAGATAGTGACTCCTGGGGCTATGTTCGACCATATGCAAGCTATGCTCGTGAGAAAATCTTACCGTTCCTGGAAAAAGCTATGTTTGGTCACGTTAGGGGGGGTCTTTGTTCCGGTCCCTTTTGAGCCCTCGTTGGGCTATGTTTACGACGTTCACGTCCCTATCTCGCAGACATGTCCTTTAGATAGTGACTTTTAGAGCTATGTTAGGCAATATCTTTACTTTATTCCAGTCCCTTTTGAGCCCTCGTTAGAAAATGTTACCGTTCCTTATCTCTGCTCCTGTTGAGCCAAATATCCGGTGAACGTCTCGAGCTACCTGCGGAAAAGATACACCAATTTGCGACGTTCCCACATTCTAGCGCTATGTTAGGCAATATGGAAGCTATGTTCGGCCACGTTGGGGGGGGTGACTTCTGGGGCTATGTTCAATGGAAGTACCTACCTTGACCCGTTCCTGGAGCATGACTGCAGTCTTTGAGCCCTCCCATGCGGGGCGGGCGGTTACCGTCGCGAAGCGACGTGAATATATATATATATATATACAAAGACGCACTCATCTCCCTTTTGGTCCACTTCGCAGCGATATTGTCAATTTGAAAAACGACAACCAACTAACAAATTCAACCCAGTCAGGCCTACAGGCATCCCCACCTTAAAGGAAGGCGACCCAGCTCACTCGGCCACACCCTGAGTGAGTGGGCTCCCTCGTCTGTTCCACTTCGGGTGAGCCACACCTCCTACCCCTCAGCGGACACAGAACCCTGACTGCGGTTGAAAGGTAAACTCCGCACTCCACGTGCTGAAGTGGAGGGTTTTCTGGGGCCAAGGCTGAGACCGATGGATGGTCGACCCAGTACTTCTTCACCATCACTTTGGCATTCTTCACATCAACACCTGCGACATGTGGCCTCAAAGCCCTAAATCTGCTGTTCCCTTGAAATCCAACGTGTCTTATTTTAGCCTCAGGCGGGGAGCTTCCCTGAAGAAGGGCGTGCACTGATGATTTGGTGTAACTTTTTAGGGATGCTTACAGTAACTGCTCACATCTACATTTATGACATAAAGCTGCCTGCTATGTCTGAAAAACCTTAAAATAGTTATTTTAGGAAAACAATAGGAATAAAATAGGAAAAAATAGGAACTGAAAATAGGAAAAAAAAAGGACACAAAGAGGATGAGTCTCAAAAATAGGAAAAGAAAAGAGCTGGATTTAGAAATAGAAAAGGAAAAAAAGGAAAAGAATGGCAGCACTCTAGGACAGGAACATAAAATGGACCTAGCCCCAGTGGACCCAGGTCTGGCGGACCTAGCCCCAGGGTACCTAGGCCTAGCCCCGGTGGACCTAGGTCTAGCGCTAGCCCCAGTGGACCTAGGCCTAGCCCCGGTGGACCTGGCCTATTTTTCCTATTTTTCCTAATTTTTCCTAGTTTTTCCTATTTTGGGGGGGGTGCGAAAATCGTCCTATTTTTTTCCTATTTTCAATTCCTATTTTTCCTATTTTTCCTATTTTTTAAATTAAAAATAGGGAAAAATGAAAAATAGGAAAAATATGAAAAAATAAGAAAAAATACACCCCCCAAAAAAAAAAAGGAAAAAAAAAAAAAAATTAGGAAAAATAGGGAAAATAGCCCTCCGTGGACCTAGGTCTCGCGGACCTAGCCCCAGTGGACCTAGGTCTGGTGGACCTAGCCCCAGTGGACCTAGGCCTAGCCCCGGTGGACCTAGCCCCAGTGGCCGCTTCATTCACTTGTGTCTGACCATGTCTGACCATGCGTCTGATCGGAATGAGCCACCTGCCTTCCGGTAAATCTGAAATATTCGATCCTATTTGTTTCCAATTTCACGGTTGTTCTTGTTGTCAGCCCTATTTTATTCCTATTTTGTGTTGTCAGCCCTATTTTATTCCTATTTTGGGGTCCTATTTTATTCCTATGTTTTTCCTAAAAATAATTATGTTTGAACACTCCAGAGATAGCAATAGCTTTTTTTCATAAATCTACATACAGTATATCATACACAAGAAGCCTCCCACACCGCAGCGTGCGCTGAGCTTTCTTTTTCTAAACTGGATGCTGCCATCTGTCCACATTGGCATCAAGAATCGCAGGGCAGACGCGATTCTCCTGAGACGAGTGGTGCTGAGAGTGTATGTCTTTCTGACTTCCAAACCGAAGAAGCAGTTTTTGTTTCGACGCTGGCAAAATGTGCCTGTGAGTTCCACGGGACTTGAATGTTATACATGTACCCTGCCCACCAGGGATCCTTGCCTCCGCGTAAAAGAGCGTTGTTCGAAGCACTTGATCCTCCGCATACTTCCACCACTCGCTTCCCCAAGTAGTCTTGTGCCCGTGGATCAAGCCGCTCCTGCTGTTTGCGGCCGGAGAGGATCAGCAAGCAAAACATTGACATCGATGACATGGCCCCATGTCAACTGACACAGCCGTGGCGCCTTGCGACCTTCTTGGCATCTTCTTTAAGGAAGCATTCCAGCAAGCTAGAGCTAAGGGCATAGAACTCGCCAAAGACACCTCAACTTGTGCTCGTGAATTTGTCAGCCGTAGGTGGCAAAGGCCATGACATGATAGCCTAAAAAGTGGCCACACCAAAATCAAGAACTGATGTTCATCTAACATTTCTGGGCATGGCGTTCGATTCGTCTTTCAATTTGACGTAGGCATACACGAATTCACGGTTTCTTTCATTATCTCGTAGGTGGTGCTGTCTCTCCATCCATGTCCTGAGGTTGGTGCCACCTTTGCCATTGTAGCCGCCCATAAAATGTCTGGCAAGGCTCCAATCAGATGTACCATGTTCACTTAAATTCTTTCAGGGCCCAATCCACCCATCTCTCACTCTGATTCACTCTTCACAGTGTCACACACCACGCCTGCCGTAAAGGACTGGCCATTCGTGCCCCAGAACCGAAACTGGCTTTCTGGCCAAATCCTCCATGACTGAAATGATGTCCTCACTGGTCAACCCCCGCTAAGCTCAGAGCAACTCAACGTTGACATGGTTCACATCTGAAAAAGTGTCTGTGGAATGTCAAAGTGATCCAAACGAATCCAAACATCCCGACATTTTTGTGTTGGAGGTTCTGCAAGATTGTGTCATCACCTTCTCTATCTTCTGTGTTATGTCACCACCTTCTCCAAGTCTCTGGAAAAGTGTCAGAGTCCATCTTGCCCACGTGTGTGGCCCATGGAAAGTTTGCAGCAGCATAAGCAAGCCTAGGTTGAAACTATGCAACAAACAGACGGATTTGAAGCCATGCAACAAAACCCATCTCATGTCACAGGTCAACTCACACAAAAAGTTGCCACTGCAATGAGAAACCAAGCAGGAGTCTTGAATTGACTGGTCCACCAGCTTCTCTTCCAGCCCTTCAAAATCACAAGAACACACAGAAGTAACTCGGCAACATTCAAGATCGAAACGCCACATCGGACGAATTGCCAAAAACTCCGCCAAGAAAACAGAAAACATCAACCAACAAAAAAACGGATGACCTGATGGATTGCATTGATTGCATTGAGTACATGAACTCATCGCAATCGCTGCCTCAGTGCCCTTGCTGTCCTTGAAGCCATCCCACTTCGCGGGTGGCTCCGGGACAGACTCCAGCCGTACCGAGTCATTGGCCAAAGTCCTCAGTCGTCGACGGAGTGCTGAGTTTCATAGCACAGGGCCGTGGGGGGTCGTGGGTGGTTGTGGGTCATCTGCCTCAACGAACTGAACTGGTGATCAGTGGGTCATGCGTCATGCGGTTTCAGTTTGGTCTTCGAACACGGTGGTTTGGTCTTGCACCGAGGATCCGATTTGTTGAACCGAAGACAAAAACGGGGAAGACCCGGCACCTGTGGGCACAAATGCGCGACAAAGCGTTGCGTTGCTTCGAATTTCACACTCTTCATTGCGCCTCACGTCTTGGTACTGCTGCACCGGGCACACACCAGGTTTCTTCATCCAAGTGGCACCTCAGTCACAAGCTCAGCTCGGTCATTGAGCTACCGATACCACGGTACACACAGCTTCACAGCTTCACACAGCTTGCAGCCAGCAGGCGATGCGCATCTTGTATCTCCTCCTGGCTGGTCATGGCCATCACACCCAAGACCAACTTTAGAGGTCTCGGGGTGAAGTGAAGCTCCTCAAGAGAAGAAAGCTCCACGTGAGCCAAGCCTTTCGGTCAAACGACTGAAGAAACGTCAAGAAACAAAATGTTGTTCTAGCTATAACAATGATATAACATTGGCCTTCTCATCAACCTTGAAACGTATCAATCATGGTCTCAGAACGGGATGTCTTTTGCATTCATCGCTCGTAATGGGTCCCCGTGCATCCCCCCCAACACCGGTCCCCTTTGAAGGGAGCGCAGCGCTCGCCATCCGCTTGCGGCGGAACTTTGGGGTCACAGCGCAAGTATTCCAGAGGCCGTCCCTTGGTCGATTCAGGTTGGAAGGCGAAGCAATGACACGATTTCACAGGTTTTGAAACAGGCGACACATCGCCAAGGCACATAGAGGCGCTCCAAATCCAGCTTCTGGAACCTCCTTGGAATGGACAAAAGGTTGCAAAGATTGGCGCAGATGGCCAGATTCTGTTGAAGCTGTCTCATGTCAAGAAGGTGTGGTCCGCGATTTGTAAAGTAGCCAAAACATCCTCTTTAAGGCAGAGAGTAAACAAACAAGGTAAACATGGCTACCAGTTAAGTGCTGGTCTCGCATGTAGCTCTGCTTATCTCGAAGCTTCTGGGGCAAATCCCTGGATGGTGCACTCGCTTTGCCCAAGGCCAACTGCAAGGGGTAGACTTCTCCTGCAACTCGGCCAGTTCGCACCAAGAAAAAGAGAAAAGGAAAAGGTCTTCCAGGTTGTGCCCTTTGAGCGGACCATTGGCAGACCCATGTGATGTTGGTCTTTCCCTAACACTTTTTCGGCCGCTTGGCCCATGCGCACCTTCTGGTCGATGCTTCAGGCTATGGACCAGCGGTAGCAGCCATAGCAGCAGCTTCATTCTACGGGGTTTGGCTCAAGTCCGGAGATGAAACATCTGTCTTGTCTTTCTGTCTGAACAAGTCTGGTCCAAGAAAATGTCTGACACTGAGAATACTTGCGGTGATATCCGCTCACACTGATATCCAAAACCGTTGAATCTAAAGTTGAAGCAACCACTACAGACTACATACAGACTACATACCACTACCACTCGGCCGGAGCCTTTGAGCCGAGTTTAGGGGCGGAAGCCATTGCTTTTTGGTCACAAGCTACAGGGCCAGGCTGGCTTGGCACCTCCATCGGCTCGCTCTCGGGTGTCAATGACGAAGGAGTGATTGAAACGAAGTGCCCAATTCGCCTGAGCTCAGTGATTCCTCTTTCTGTCTCTCTTCCTCATTTACAAGTTGAAGAAATATGGACAGGCAGCTTTGTTCGTCTGCAACTTGGATCATGGAGTGCGGTCAAGCAACATTCAAAGGCAGAGTGTAGCGTGCAAAGCTATGCACATGATGCGTTGCGTACCTTGCATCTTGCAGGATCTCGGGGACTCAATGAAAAGCATCTCGTTCAGGTCTGAAAACAGCTCACGTGGTGATCAATACCCGGTGCTTGTCGCAAAGCTCGGATTGTCCCATGGGTGCAGTACCTCCATGAGGGGCAAACAAAGCATGTGGAGCAGGACCTCGACATGGAATTTTGCCCTCGACAAGGACGGAGCCAAGCCCGCAGCTTCTCCACTGCATGCGAGGAGTGCCCCGAAGGCAGGGGGTTTTGTGGAAGAGAATGCTGCAGATTGTCGGGGTCCAAGCAACAAATGGTATATACTTGACTCAAAAGATGCAAGAGTAGAAGTCATAGAAGAAAAAACAATCTTCTTTTGAGTTACTAATAGCGATGGCCTCCCACCTAGACCTAATACTAGCGGTGGCCTCCAACCTAATAGCGATGGCCTCCAAAAACATGCCAACAACTGTTGTTGAAACACCTTTCGGCTGACATGCTGTGGCGCACGGTTGGCACAGAGAATTTGCCTCTCAGCATCACCACTGCAGCATTCAGTCCCCATCGGTTGGCCTTGTCAACCACGATCAGCACAAAGGGACTGTTTATGACGAGTTTGCTGTCTGCAATAGACTTGTCAATTTCCCAAATCCACGGACGACATCAGAAGCCAAAGCGACTATCCAGGCTTGCTCAGCCACAGATACTTAACCGGTTGAACACAGCCTCCTTTTGCACTGGCTTGGTGATGTTCGGAGTCCTGTGTCGAAAGCTGAAGAAAACCTCGAAAGCAGCCCCTTTTCGAAGAGAAGAATCTGAAATGGAGACTTGGTGTAATCGTGTTGCTGGATTTCGTCAACTTCAACCGTTGCCCAACCTGTGAGTGCTTCTCTTTGAGATGGACGACGTGCATTTGAACATTTGAACTCACATGTGCGCTGCCCGACACTCGGCAGCTCGGTTCCTCAAAGGCTCTCCTCCCAAACGAAATCCTCCAGAGCGCCAGACCAAGGACCTCCCAGGGACATCCGAAGCGACACTGCAGTGACACGAAAAATCACATCGTGACACGTCGCATCCAGACGCCCCACCTGCGCCAGACAGACTGGGATGGTCATCGTCCTGTCAGAGAGCGTGAATTGCCAAGTAACGAAGGTGAAAACTTTTGTAGGGCATGCGCACTTGGGATACGGCATGCGTTCCGTTTTACAAAAATAGATAAACTCTTTGCAGCACCTCGTTCACGTCCACAAAGATGGCATCTAAATCCAAGCCCTCCAGGACTGAGAGCGTGTCAGGAACAGCCTTGAACAGGCTCCCAGAGGGACCACTAAAGGCTTTTGGCATTCAATCTCCAAGAACACCAACAATCCAAACCCTGCCAGAGCTCTCAATCAAATCAGCACTTACAGGTCTGCGGGTGCCTGGAACGGTATGGAGTCAAGACTCGAGGAAAATTCCTCCATATTGATCTCGTCCATCTCGTCGATCTCCTCCTGCGCAGCAATCGGACCGCCATCTGCGTTTCATGGAAAGCACCCATTGAGAAACTCAAATTGGTTGACATGGAAAAAGAGGGAGTAGCCAATCTAGACCCCATGAGAAGCCCAGAAAACACACCATATGTCCCCCTTCCATCCTCTCCCAATCAACATAAATCAAGAGTTGCCTCAACATGCAGATCCGCTGGGCTGTCAGATCCGCCCTTTCTCCGGATCACACGCACTGGACGGGCTCAGAGATCCACCCATCTTGGGCGGGGCTCAGAGATCCATGTCATCGTCCTTGCATCGTCCGACTCCATCGACCGTTGACCAACGAAAAAGAGGAAAACACAGCGATCGTTGGACCAAATAGGGAAACATGTGGATCTTCTGATGATGTTCTGACTCCATGTACTCTTTTGGAAGACTTTTTGAGTCGCAGCTAGTGAGATAGCAGAGAAATCCACTCACAACGGAATCCAAGTCAGACGTATTACTGCGTTTTGAACACGGCCAATGCTGCACTTCGCCTGAGGACCGGTGCCCTCGAGGCCAGCAGCCTTCAATTCCGCAAGGTGGCGCACCTGCGGAAGGAGAGCACATGACTCACACGACTCCTACGGACCTGAAAGAACTTTAAGCTACAACCAGACGGCTTTCTGAAGAGGAAATCTCTCTGCCTGCATGTCCTCTTGAAGTTGCCGGATCTTCTGCGCTAAGTCTTGCTTTTGCTCCTTGCTGCCTCCAACGTGCTATGAGCAAGCCAGCAACACCCGACACTCAGGCATGACAAAAGAAAGACACAGCGACAGTCATTGCCAGTGACTGCGGACTGCAAACCTCTTCTTGGTAGCTTTTGTTTTTCCTTTTTCAATTGGGCCACCTTTGCCTGGCAGAAACAAAGCAGAATGCTCGCTGGCACTCAAAGCGGCAGCGAAGGGACAGAACGAATGTAAGCTGTTTTCAGTACCCGAATCGTTCTTTGCACTTGAGCACTGACTCTCTTTCCCCCTCAAAATGATGCCTAACCCAAACCGGTGCTAGTGGAGCATGCCTTCATCTCCTTCCATTCCACCACTTGCCGCCCCCGCAGCTGCTCTGCAGTCTCACCAGTCCCTATTCAGCGAAGGACAAGGGTAGAACACTGTAGAACACATAGATAAGAGGGAGAGACAATGAGCAGGCAAAATTCATGATACATCCCAAAATCTAGTATAATCTAGTGACATCCCAGCTTTTGGGCAGGCCCAGAAATAGATCGTTTCTTGACTCATGAAAAGAAGGTCCTATGCCTAAGGCTCAAGAATCCATGGTGTCAATCGTATACCCTGCAGCATACTGCCCATATACCCTTCAAAAATAGCATATGCTCTCATGACGTCATTCTTCATTCTTAGTTGTGTCTCTTTCATGACAGTTTGGGCCTCCAACGGATGCTGCAATGCGCTTTCCTGTCAACCAGAAATAAGGCAAAGAGAGAATGAAGGAGTAAAGTTCAAATATGACATGCCGGGGAAATCTTTGACAACTCCAAAACATCTGCCAGGAGGCTCCGCTGCTTGCGGCTCTCCGCCACAGCGGGCTGGGGCTTAGGCGCCTTCCGCCGTTTACCTCAGCGAAATGATTGGCGTTGGCTGTGGGATTGGCATGTTTTTGGCATTTGGATCCACCAGGTGCTCCAAGTGACTCTTATTGATGGTCTTCTTGACCTTCCCCTCCTACCCAACAAACAGGGCTTCACTCTGAGGAATCCGAAAGGTTGAATCCTCCCACGCCTTGACGGGCGCCATGACCACATCCTTCGACTCCTTCCCCTTCTTTTTCCGCACCATGGCCAAGTTCAGAGTTCCAACAAATCTGCTGTGAGAAAGTCTTGGCAAATTCACTTTTGCCAACTTGTCAGGTGTTCTGTGTCAAACTCTGCAGTGATCGGTACTGTATGGATTGTGTCTGGACATGCTAAGCGAGTGGTTGTACCATCGAAATCTTTGAGTCACAAATGATGATCGAAATCCGTGATGAAGCAATGCTAGAAACTGAGTTGATGAACCCATCTTCAAAAGCAAAAGCCTACAAAAGGAAAATACAGAATCATCAATCTTTTGTTGGAGTATATATATATATATATCCATCACGTTCCTTGCTGAACTTGCAATGTGCAAATCTCCTCCTCAACCGCACTGGCCTCAAAAGCATGCAATGGACAACCGCGCACAGGCTAGTCGGGAAACTCCGGAACACTTCGAATGTGGCCAGACGTGGCCAGCCTGCAAGTACTCCAACTGCTGTCTAGCAAGGAGGTGCTGCCACGCCTTAAGTGGCTCAAGCGAGTCAAGCATCAGGATATCAGGATGGCAACGGAATGCATACCTAGTAGCAATGAACTCCAACCAACTAGCGATGGCCTCCAACCTACTAGCAATGCCCTCCAACCTAAGAGCGATGGCCTCCAACCTACTAACGATGGCCTCCAACCTACTAGCATTTGAAGAAGATTCAGAGACCAACAGGAGGAAGCTTGATGGTCATTGTTCTTCCGATAAAGTCTGGCTCAAAGTCGACCCTGAGGTTCACACCACCATGGTCCGATTGCAAGGCTCAGGTGACAACAGGGACAAAATGCCCTCCAGGACCTGCAAAGCACTATGACTGGTTCGGCTTCGTTGTCACAATCACTCTGCTGTTTCACTCAGTTTTGAGACCAGGGACTGACAAGTTACTGGAGTTTTGGCGGACATCCTTGCTCGATTTCATCCATTGCCAACTCATGCGCACCTGTTTGGGCTTGAGTTTTCCAACCACTGACTCTTCTTTCCCAGCGATGCGCACGCCCATCGGCAGCACATCCTCCTCGGCCCAATCTTGTTTCCCACATGCCAAGTGAAAACAACAGAGGCACAAGTGACCCTTGACATCCCTTGACCCTGACAGACACAAGTGACCATCCCTTGTCTGGAGGCCATCGCTAGTAGGTTGGAGGCCATCGCTAGTAGGTTGGAGGCCATCGCTATTAGGCTGGATGCCATCAATATTGGGTTGGAGGCCATCGCTAGTAGGTTGGAGGCCATTGCTATTAGGTTGGAGGCCATTGCTATTGGGTTGGAGGCCATCGCTATTAAGTTGGAGGCCATCGCTATTCGGCTGGAGGCCATCGCTAGAAGGTTGGAGGTTGGAGGCCCTCGCTAGTAGGTTGGAGGCCGTCCCTATTAGGTTGGAGGCCATCGCTATTAGGTTGGAGGTTCATCGCTATTAGGTTAGAGGCCATCGCTAGTAGTGGGAGGCCATTGCTATTAGGTTGGAGGCCATCGCTAGTAGTTGGAGGCCATAGCTATTAGGTTGGAGGCCATCGCTAGTAGGTTGGAGGCCATCGCTAGTAGGTTGGATTCCATCGCTAGTCGGTTGGAGGCCATCGCTAGTAGGTTGGAGGCCATCGCTAGTAGGTTGGAGGCCATCGCTACTAGGTTGGAGGCCATCCCTGTAGTAGGTTGGAAGCCATTGCTATTAGGCTGGATGCCATCGCAAACATCACTATTAGGTTCGAGGGCATTGCTATTAGGTTGGAGGCCGTAGCTAGTAGGTTGGAGGCGATCGCTAGTAGGTTGGAGGTCATCGCTAGTAGGTTGGAGGCCCGCCAAAGCCATTAGAAACAAAGAAAATAGAAAAGGAAGAAAGGTCCTCTGCAATGAGTGATGAGCCGATATGAGCCGAGATGAGCTAAGGCTCTGAAGATCGCCGGTGGGACTTGAGGCTTTGGAGAGCAGCCCGCAAATCCTCGAATTCGTCGGCACAGGACCTAAAGAATGGTTCATATTGTAATTGCTCATAGTTCGTCTACGGCAGCAATTCACTACAAACTATTCAAGAGCTAATCATGGAATCAGCTTTGCTACATGCCTCAGCAGCACTAGGTTTGTTTCTACGTGTCCATTGGGCTTTGGAGCTTGAAAACAAAACATCCCCGGCGCAGATCACAAGGGGTTCTTCTTTCGTTCTTTTCTCCTTCACACAGATCTGCAGCATCTCGCTGGTGATGGCTTGCTCCTGGAGGGAAGAAGCATCCCCACGTCAGACCGGCAGAGTCTGAAAAGTGAGATGCACTAGTAGCTTCATGCTACTAGTAATGCCAGGAGCTACTTCTTGCTCGTACTAGCGATGCCCTTTGTTTCTTAGTAGCTTCAAAGAGTAGAGTTGTAGCAATATATCAACTCCCCCAAGCGGATGCCTGCAGACTTCCACTGTCCCGCGGCACCAGTCGACGGCTCAGAAAAGAGCGGCTACAAAGACGCCCTTTGCCTGTCAAAGCTCGCCCCTCAAGGCATTGAAGGTTTGAAGTTGGCTTTCCATCATGTCCCTGCATCATATCCCTCCACCGCTTTGCCTGTGCGGCAACGGAAGGCTGAAGGGACATCATGCAGAAATCCCAGTTGGCCTGGAACTTCGGTAAAAGGTGCAGCTCGGAAAGTTTCGGTTGTCAGCACCGTTTCGCCAAGTACGAGTATCCAAGTGGCGAACAAGGTTTGAGTCTCTGACCATCTGTGGCAACGCTGTGCACCCACGAGACGAAGCTCTTCTGGGCCTGCACTTCAGTGCAGAATGTGGTGTCTTGTAAGGATAAAAGTGGCATGATGATAAGCAAAGCCAATCGCATCGCAGCTTCACAGCTTCTAAGCTTCAGGCAAAGCCCACCTCCTTCGATGGATTGATCCTTGGCCATTTCGGCTGTTCCACGTTCGCTTTGGGCGTGAGTTTACTTGATAACTTCACTTACTGGGACTTGGAAAAAGCTCTGTCATGTGTCGGAACACCTGGGCAACAGGCTGCTCTGCGACATTGAGCAGAACTGCAGCACTGCTGCAAAACCTGTCTGTACACTCTGCATCTGACCAATCAAAACACAAAGAAACAAGAATAGATTCGACATCTTTGGCTCAGGCTGCCGATTCAGCGACATGGTCAAATGGATTGACAACTGCGCAGACCTTGGAAAGTAGACTCAGGTGCTTTCTAATGAAAACAAAAGTTGTAACAATCAGCAAAAGAAAGAGGTCTAAGGTCTAGCAGAGGACAGCAGAGGCAAGTCTATCGAATACATGCAAAAAAGGAGATGCAACGGGTAAAAAAGTGCAGCAAAAAGTTGCGCTTCAGGAGCCAACGTCTGAGCTCGATGAATCTGAGCCATGGTTTACCGCAACAAGAAATCAAAAGTGAACATCTCCTAGTAGCTTCTTGTTCCTAGTAGTACGGCCAGGAGCCCCTAGTAGCGACGCATTAATGGAACTCGCAGGTTGTCAAAGCAAGTGCAAGTTGATCAGCACTGCCTGCCTGTCCAATCGGCAAATACAAAGCATCTCCCTCCTGCATAACCTTGAATAAAACTGCAGAACAAAAATTTGACTTTGCAAAGGTTCAGTCGGAGGCCATAGCTAGTATCTTTGAGGCCATCACTGCTAGATTGCAAACGTTCAAACATTGTCTTGGTCCCCGGCCACAGTGCTGCAGTTGCGAAGATCTTCATCTCCCTCAGGCACCTCGCTTGGAACTCGCCACCCCACTGGAGATCATTGATCAGGTGTAACGAAGAGAAACAAAGGAAGGGTTGACCACACTGTTCTCAACAAAAGGCAATCAAGGCTAATCCAAAACCCCCCAAACACCAAAATGTCGAAACACACAATGCAAAGAGAATCAGGTGTCTCTCGTTGTCCTCTCTCTCTCTCTCTCTCTTCATATTCGCCTGGTTGTAGGTGAGGTTGGCAAAGCTGAAGGAATTGGTGAGGCGTCTGGCACAAAGCTCCCAGGACCTCAAAGGCAATGTGTGTTCCAAACAATTCTAAGAGGTTCATGAAAAGAGCAGTGGAAGCAGTTGCTCTTCTTTTCACAATTGCTTTTGGACTTCCACAAGACACCAAACCAAAAAGCTAGCTTGTGAGCTTGGAACTTGTTCCCCTGCACTTGCAGAATAATGGCATCACTGGGATCGAAATGATATCCAAAACCTGCAAGGAAATGAACGAAACCGAAAAACACTACTTTCGATCGAACAACCAATCAAGGCCTGTTGAGAAGGCCGGGGTTGTGTAGGAATTCAAGCCTACCAGGTGTGAACCACAATGCGCCAAGCAAGACACGGAAACGCACAGGATCAGATTCAAATGACCTATTCACAGAACATGTTTTGCTTTGGAGGTTTAGTTCTTCCTTTTCTTCAACCCAATAGATGGGAAGAGGCTCCCACAAACCCACTGCGAGGCTAGCGTGTTAGCATGTATCTTGTAGAGCACTCTCATGTTGCGCTCTCTCTCTCTCTCTATCTCTCTCTCTCTCTCTTCAGTTGTTGCATTGTTTAGCCACTGACCTATGGCTACCAACCTCCAGGTAGACCAAAGGTCATAGAAGCTAAGCGGACATATTTTGCAAGCCTCATAGCTCAAATGACAATGAAACTCAATGTGAAACATTTGATCAATTTTGATCCAACTGTTTGACATCAGCTGCTTTAAGACTCTGTCGCAGGGTGTCTTCGGTGAACATGGTTCTGGACAAGTGTCCATTTCTTCTGCAACCTGCGATGCTTCGGTCTGCCAACTCACAGAGTCAAGTCACGCTCTTCCTACCCATGACCGTGATGTGTCATGATTGATCAAATCTGCAGACTCCAAATTAAAACTCAAAACCGCTCTTTCAAGCGGGTCAGAATGGGAAAACACCTGGTCGGCCAAAAAATTGAGACTCCCCACGCAAACCTTGCTCCTGCCACACCCTGCTCGTCCTGGCCGGACTAACTCTTGTAAAGTGTCCAGAATAATGGAATGCTGGGGCTGCGGCATGAGCT